TCGCTTTGTAAGTTTGCAGTTTTATTACTTCAAGACAGTGGGGGGAGCTGGTAATTGGATTTTCGTAAAAGCTTATTTTCACTTGTTAGTTGGGGGGTCTATTTCTTTTCTCACGTTATAAGTGCAGATGTTTTTCGGATTGCATTGTCAGATTTTCTGGTGTTTGATTCGTCATGGGTGTGTCATTTTCTCAATTTAGATAACATAAAATTCCGGGATTGGTAAGATATAATTTTATGATTTTTTTGAAAGCCTATGAACTCACAGAGGCGGAGAAACCGAGTTTTCCTGGGTGCTTGCACCAGGCTAGAGTTTAATTCCGATTCTGATTTTCAAGAAGAGTAAGAGGAGAAAAAGCGGGGGCTTGACCCTTCGGGTCTTGCTTCTCGCGAGCCGCGTGAACAGCCGGCAGAGGGTATGACTTTTCTCTCGGCTTTTAGCTGGCGAGAATTTGCGTTGGCATAAGGCATAGAGCTCAGCAAAAGAATTTCGATTTCTCTTATCCCAAGAATTGTTCGGCAGATTCTCTTGGTGATCCTGACATCCTGATGCGGTATTCCTGTTTTTACCGGCTTTGACTTCCTAATTAGATTTTGTTCCAAAGGTGCTCTACGCTTATGGTGAGTTTCGGGGCTTCCAGAATGAAAGAGACTCGTGTAGGACCCTTCTAAGGTGTGCATTGCTGTTTATTCTGCCTGTGCCAGCTGCGTCGATTTTTTTTTTCATCATTCCATGCTCTGGAATTTATTTATTGTAAGGACAGCTTCAATGGTGTTGCAACCAAGTCATCTTTAAAATTCGCAAGAACTGTCTGCCTCCATTAACGATGATTTTGTGAATAAAGGACAGCAGGAATAATGTGGTGCTCGAGTAAACTTTGGACGCGGGACGATCTGTTGAACTCTCTAAAACTCCGTATTAATCCGCCGATGATGGCATTCTCGATCTCTTCGAATGGTCAACGCAATGAGTAGGACGTTCTGTTGAACTATCAGCACTCCATATTAATCAGTCGATGATGGCATAAGAGTTGAATGTATGAACTTCACCCTGTGAGTGAATTTTTTTCTGTCTTTTGTATTTAAATTGCAACCGAATAATGATACTATATTAATATACGGTACAACCGCCTAAATTGTGAGTTATGTAATGTTAAAAAAAAATTAGTACACCTAACATGAGTATAAGATTTAAAATAATATATATGTTAATTTACATCTTAAGGTTAATTTGTAGGGGACTGATCAGTTTACCTAGTTATCATATGTTTGAATATTCTAGAAATTAATAAATGTGTTTGATATGTATTTTATGTTTCATTTGTTTAATTTAGTGTAGTTTCTGTGGTCTGTCATGTACCTCCATTTGTTTGAGCCGGGTGGCTTTTAAGAAACATGGAGTTTACTTGAATTTGGAGTTATTGATTTTCCCTTTACATAGGTTACTCACAACGCAAACCTAAAAGTTAAATTGTACTATACCACTATACGATTGATTGATAGATATGATATACGATTGATTGATAGATTTACTATACGAATATTTTTAAGAATGTCGAAATGATATATGAATATTATGAAATAGTTTTTGAATGTGAATTATCTGATTTTGATTTTTTTTTTGTTAATTTATCTGGCACCACAGTGAGTCAGTTAAGTTTAAGTTATAATGGAATAAAGTATTTAAAATAGAAACATAATTTTTTTTGGATATAACACAATGGTTGGTTAATGCGTTTTCGAGATCGTCATGGAATAACTTTCCAAGAAGTTCACGGAGAGAAAAGGTCAGCCCCGATAAACGACGCAAATGAATGGCGGCAAAACAAGATAAAAGAAATCTTAGAAAAGTATGCTCCAGAAGACATTTATAATGCAGATGAAGCTGGGCTGTTTTTCCAACTCCTACCCGATCGAACATTGGCATTCAAGGGTGAAAAGTGTTATGGAGAGAAGAAATCAAAGCAGAGACTGACTGTTCTTCTGTGTACAAATAGCACAGGAACGCATAGAATACAACCTCTCGTCATTGGTAAATCATTGAAGGCAAGGTGCTTTAAGAACGTGAAAAGTCTTCCCGTGGAGTATAAAGCAAATAAGAAGGCTTGGATGACGTCTAAATTTTTTTCCGAATGGTTACAGAAGTTAGACAATGAAATGAAGAAGAGAAAGAAAAAAAAAATCGTTTTGTTGATAGATAACTGCGGTGCTCACACGTCATTTCCAAAGCTACAAAATATCGAAATCGCTCTTTTCCCTGCCAATTGCACTTCAATTTTACAGCCTCTTGATGTAGGCATAATTAAGTGCTTCAAAGGATATTACAGAAAACGGTTGGTGGACTCCATACTTGTAAACTTTGAAAATAAAGTAGAAGACCCTTTCAAAGCTGTAAATGTCAAGGAAGCGTGTGACAATATTGCTGGAAGTTGGTGGGAAGTAACAGAAAAAAACATTCGGAATTGCTGGAAAAAGGCCGGTCTTTGTGTTATGGAAGATAAGAAATCTGATAATGATGAAAATTCCATAGACAATGATCTCTCAGATGATCAAGAATGTGTTTTGCCTATCAAAAAATCCATATCCCAACTTGAGGAAACAAGCGGTAAAAAGTTTGGAATTAGTATAGAAGACTATTTAACAGCAGATGCTGATCTTATGGTTTTCGCAGGAGTTACTGATATTCTCTATGAAATTACTGATGAGATAGGAAACAATGTTAAAGATGATGATGATAATACAGGTCCATCGCAATCCTTATTGTCATCCCAGGAAGCTCTTCAATCTGTGAATTCTCTACGGACATTTTTTTCAAGCCTTCCGTCGACAAATGAAGAACATTTTCGTGCACTAGACTCAATGCATACAGTATTGGTGAACTTAACAGTTAAAAAAATCAATAAACAAACAAAAATATTGGATTATTTTCAATAAAAAGTGTTTTCAGGTATGTGAATATTTCTGTGTTTATTTTCTGAATTTATCTTATTTATTTATTTTTTTAGTATTTAAACCATTATTATTAGTATTTTACAAATTAATTTCTTCTAAATATAGACTTAAAAGTAGTATGTTATGCACCTTAAACTAATAATAATAAAAAAAAACTCTTATTAAATGCTCAAAATATGTGGGCCCTCGATATAACAATATGCCTCTCTAGAACAATATATTTATTTGGTCTCTAAAATATTGTTGTAACGAGGTTTCACTGTATTGTGCATTATTCTGTGTACCTATATTTAGCAGTACTTTTGTGTCTAGTATATATTATCTGTTGTACTCATGATTCTATGTTTATAATACATGTTAATTGTGAGCCACTGATTTTCGTGATTAAAGGCATTTCTTTTGTGCACTTACCTTGCACATCCCTTCACTTCCAAGCGTCTCGACCGGCTTAGCTATTGGCTAAGCTATTCGCTAGCTATTCGTTCGGCTACAAAGACTGTTTCAGATTTTGTTTCACATCTTTACTGAACTCTTATGTGATTTTTATTGTCGCTCATTCCCAAGTACTTATGTGGACCGTGTTTAAAAAAATTTCGAACTTTCATGTGTTAGAAAGTCGGCTACAATGTTATTCACGGGGTCTGCGCGGGAACCTGCGTTGCAAGACGACGCCTTGCCTGAGCCGAAGATGCAACTGTTAGGTAAATTCTTCGTGAAAATGGTGTGTCAAGAAGTTTTGCAATCACTGGATTCCTCGTTGTCCAAACAAGTACAGGCTAGAGTAAACTTGTGAAGAAATATCTGACGAAAGATGCTCAAAATGATTTTTAACATCATAACGAGTGACAAATTTCGGTTATGCACCTGCCTGTCAAATAAAGTTTACCTGGTGAAAATCCTTGTACCATGGTCAAGACGGTTTAGTGCAAGAATTCCGAATCCGTTTAAAAGAATGATTTTCTTCATTGACCTCCTTAGATTTTTCTCTCTAATATACATCACACAACATAATCATAATACAAATAACTGCACACAAATCAGTTAAAGATAATAATTAGATTAAAAATAGGAACAAAAGTTTTGAAAAAAGTGGTTTATTAGATTTATGTTTAAAAATTTTTTGTATTCTTATTATTTTTAATTCTCTAAGTATAAGCAAGTCTTTTAGAAAACAAATCGCAAATTCTAATTGCAAAAACATTCAATATAAGAGGGCTGCTCTATGTGTATTGGTACAATTTGTTTTGAATATTTGGCATAAGACTGCTTGTCCTAACTCTCAGATTACTAGATTTAAAAAAAAAAAAAAAAAAAAAATATTCAACGTCTTTCTTGTTCAAAATTATTGACTTGACTATCCACTAGGTAAGAAGGAAGAAACGACACGTTGGTTCTGCATTTAATTGTGGATAATTCTCTCGAGTGACTTTCTATTGGAAACTCTAAAGATATGATGTTTTCAAATATTTTGTGATTTTGATGTTGAATCGAATTTTATGCGACGTAAGCATCAAAAGCGTGATATTTAATAAATAAAGTAAACACATAAAACATTAAAAATAAAAAGACAAAAAAAAAAAAAAAAAAGGATTTGTAAAAACATTTTAGTAAGAAAACTGAACACTGACATAATAAACTGAAAAAAAGACTGGAAAAAACAGAAAAATGTTTTTCCAACACTTAACGCTGCATCGGGGAATTCTAAATGTATACTGCTATGCTTCTTTTAAAACTAGTAAGTGCGAAGAAAACAATGCTTAATAATAATATTGAATAGACACACAAAAATAAAATGTTGGTAGGAATGAGTGTAACACCAGACTTGTACACTGCGAGGTCAGCGAGAGCGTAAAAAACCTTAAAAAATCGTTCTGGGTGACCGTTAATATCTGAAATATTTCAGTTGTTTTAAATTTTAAATATTTGTTTTTTTAAAATTCATTTTCCTGATTGCCTTCTGGGCTCCTCCTGTACTTGAAATCTCAGAAATTCTTTCTAATTAAGTCTGTCTAATTAAGCCTTGCATTAACTTAAATATTAAATTTTCAGGAACAGAGGAAAGAGCAACGAATACGAGACGAACTAGGAACAGAACTGCACTTGAGAGACTACCAGCTGCAAGATCTGTTGCAGAAACACACGCAAGTAATTGATTTGTTTCTTTGTTCTGTCATTCTGTCGGACGTGAGAATAAAAAAGAAAATGTCTCTTACATATTATAAACAAGAAATAATCCCCTTGTGACAGAACTAGGGTATTATGCTCGTCATTTGTTTCGCTTCACTGAACTAAAATGTTTCCTTAGAGATTAACGAATTGTGCTATTTCTGAAAGCGTTTTATTGCATTTTATCTCAAGTAACTTTATTTCAACAGCATATGTTATTTGTGTATAGACATGCATATGTTCTACTTACGAATTATTCCATTATTTATAATTTGTTACTGCTGCTCGTAATGATAAAGCAAACGATTATTGAATATAATTATTCTTAAGCTGAAATGTAACAGTAATTCACAAAATATCTTTCATAAATGTTTACCAGTGTGTATTGGTAAATAATGAGGAAATCTGTATGTATTTTATATATGTATAGTATACATATAATGAACAAATACAAAGTAAAAAGCAGTGTTCAATACTTAATCCATTTGAAAGCAGCAACAAGTGGTGGTAATAATGGAAAATAAATTTAAAAATAATGCGTTTAAGATTCATCCCATATTCAATTTGGAATAAACATGTGCAAAAACCAAAACAAAAAGCACAGTGACAAAATGCAAGAAAAAAGAACAAAAAATGCCGAAAGCAAAAAACTAGAAAAGAAATTTATATCTTTTGCTGCATCGTCATCAGGGGTTGTGGCAAGGAAAGAAGAAAAGAAATCAGCCTGTTTCTGAGCAATAAAGACACATTTTTTTTTTAAAAAAAGTTTGAAACTTAAAATAATCTAAGGAAAAAAAATCAAAATAACATGTAACTTTATCAGTCCAACTCTTACAGGCCGAAGTAAGCAGTGCATACAATTGCGAAACCATAGTATAAAAAAAAACGCAAACAAAACCTCAAAAAGCTTAAATTATTATTTAGAGTAGGCTGAGCTCAAAAAACAAAATCTGAAAATACAAGCAACGTAACATATGCTGAAATAAAATCATATGTAAATTCTGAAACACCGCAGCCAGGGTTAAATATATTTTAAAAAATCATAGCATCAAAATCGTAAATAATCGAAAGAAACCTTAAAAATTTAATAATAATAATAGTTTTGAAGTTAAGCTGACAGAGTCCAAAAAACATGTAAAACTGAAGGAAGCATATAAAAAATAAAATAAAAAATAAAAATAAGAGGAGTTAGTTCTTAAAATCTGTAACATTACAGCATCAAAAGTTTAGAGAAAATATATTCTACCTGTTTACTAGCTAAGTTATATATATTCACATAGACATCTCAAAGCTTGAATTTCGAATTTTTAATATCGAAATTATTTTTTATTCATTTCTCCTCTTTGTACAAATTTAAGGAGTTTTTGATTAACAGTTATGCTTGATGTGGTTGTGAAACGGAGGACTATGCATATTGAAAATTTGTATTTCTACATGCCATTGTTTTTTCACAATGCGAGAAACATACATACTTACATACATAAACAAAAGATTCTTCATTATTTAATTGTAACAGAGACAAGTACAAAAATAGCAGTAAAGGAGAAACATTGCCGGGGCTAGAAAAACTGCAATTTACAGAATAGCAGTTAGCAGTCTATTAAATGAAAATATAAAAGTTAGCAGTATATTAAATTAAAATATAATCTTATTTAGGATTTGAAAATTTTTATCTATATAAATATATAATTTATTTTTTTTTCTCTTTTGCATATATTACTCTTCTTTAGATGGAAAAGCAACTGAAGGAGTTGAATTCGGTTGACACGGTAACAAAATACGAAAATCTCAAATTGCAAAAAGTAAGAACTGTATGTTATTATTTTCAAGTATAAAGATGCTATTTTAGCGCATTAATAATTTATTATTATCGCATTATTGTTATCACATTGTTAGATTATACTTAAGCTCTTTTAATGACATTCTTAATTTTTTCTCCCATGAATTCGCAGCGTTTCTTGATTTTATTCCTTTCAGGACAAAGAGGCTCTTGAATCACGATTGGAAGCTTCAGAGCGGTTGCTACAAAACATGAAAACTCAACTGTCACTGCTCAGGAAACGAAGTATAGATGAGAAAAGGAAGAGGGCTCAGTGAGTATTCCACTTTTATTGAGGTTGGGGGGGGGAAACGTAGGAATTCAAAGCAACTTCCTATCATGTAATCTGGCGCAGATAAATAAATCTTACACAATCGTTATGAGCAAATATTGTTAAAGTTACGCCAGATGTTGCTAGTAAAAGTACGATAAAAAGTTTTAAATTCTGCTAACTTAAGGAAGGACTAAAACATCGCTGAGAAAATTAGGCAAGAGAAAAACATCGTACGAGAAAAGCAAGGAGAAAACAACGCAATTCTAAATAAAGCAATTCAAAAAATTTCATCAGTCCAATTTTATAAAAGAAATTTTTACTAATTCAGATTTATAAAAGAGATTAATTAAAAATTATTGATCAAGAAAAATCTCTGAAAGGTTTCAGAGCTTAAGGGCCACCCAAAAGTGTTTGTTAAGGTTTTTTACGCTGTCGCTGAGCTCGCAGTCTGCCAGTCTGCTGTTGCACTCCCTACTGCTAACCCATTTCTTTTTGTCTTTTTAGCGTTATTGTTAAACACCATTTTCTTTGCACATACGCCATATACATTTCAACAGCAAAATTACAAAAATTTTAAAAGCAGCATTGCAGTACAAGTTTAGAATTCACGATGCAGCGTTTTCTTAGTTCTTCACATCAATGTTCAATTTTCTTACTAATTGGCTTTACAAAGCTTTTCTTTTGTCTTTTTATTATAAACGTTTTGAATGTTTATTTTATTTATTAAATATGACGCTGTTGGTGCTTACGCGACACTAAATTCGATTCAACACCAAAACAACATTCAACACAAAATATTTTAAAATAACATATCTTTAGAATTTACGACAGACAGTGTCACAGAATAATTTAACCTCGCAGGAAGGCCTTGATTCGCAAAAGTAGGCGTAAACAAGCTTAACGGCTAGAAGCGCGCAACGCCACAACCAGAAAGGGCAGAGCCCACGGTTTGGAACGCACCAAATACAACGCATTGCAAGCAACGCCTTGTCCCTTGTGGGACCTATGGAATATAGTTATCTGGATAATTATTCAATATATTTGGAAATCTCCACTTTGCCGTAACACAGCATTGCAGTGGTATTTAGTATAAGCTAATGTGATATCGCTCGCTCATAACTGTTCCGAATGCTGGGAATTCGACCAGTTGAGTAGCGAGCATAACTGGTGCCTGGGGCCAAATACCTTTTTGGCGCCCCTTCCCCCTCCCCGAAAAAACACGGTTATATGATGAAAATCTTGTTTGGAGACCATTTGACGCCCCTCTGAGAGCGGCGCCCAGGGCATCATACACCCTCTTGCCCCCTCCCTCGACACTTCTCGTCCTTTGCAGGAGTGTAAATTCTAGCGTTTCAGGCTTAATGAAAATTTTACGACTTCCTGGCAAGTTCGCTGTTTTGCTGGATCCCCTTAATTTTTCGGAAGAAAACATATGTAACTTGAAATCCATATTGTTTGTTTGTCCATGAAACACACTTTTGAGGGAAAAATAAAATTTGTCTCTCGATTCTCGTATATTTTGCGGATGAGCAATACCCGCATTGTGAATGATATCTACCGCAATTCAAAATATTCATACCCATATCCTATGCTGTTGCATCGTTTAGGAGATTTTCGAACACCAGTCGACCTGCGAAAGCGGTGGCACCGTTATACCACGACATGATTATGAAGGCATCCTTATACATGATGGGAAGATGGCTCTGATTTTATTTAATAATCTGAGAGGATGGATGCCTTTGTGGAGAACTTTCTGAGGGAAACTGCCACATAGTTACGTTACACATGAGAAAACTAGAAATACTAACCGTACAGCCAGCTCATTTCTCTAGGATGAAACCCAAAGCAAGTAAAAATATAGTGTGCAACGACTTACCGCTAGGTCGCTGCTAGGCCAAACAGCAGGGAAACAGATTTGTTTCCAAAGGCCATACATATACATGATGGGCAGAAGGCACTCGTTTTGCAATTAATCTACCTGTTACATTAAGTTATTTACCACATAATGGCAATTTTCTTGACTTATATATATTTTTTTTTTCCTTAGAGCCGCTCTAAAGGTGTCTGAAGGGATAGCCCTGGAACGAGAGAATTTAGTTATAGAGCTCGAGAACCTTAAGTAAGATCTGATTTCATTCTATTTACACTTTTAAAATTCCTTTCAGTCTGTTCATTCCGTCAAAATGTTAAACTTAGTAAAAGAATTTTCTTCTTAACAAACTAAATAAAATACCCTTTTTCGTTCTATTATTCACCATTAAGCTTAAAAACTAATTACCTGAAGTACCCGAGTTGCCCTGGCTTTACGCATAGTGAAGAGGCTTCATTTAGGGGGATGAGGGTAGTTTCAAAATTTCAAGTAGACAGCGATTTTCTTCTTATTTAGGTTCAAGATGAAATGAGGAAAATGTTACGAATCTCGAATAAAACTGTAGAACTAACATGGAACGGTTTAATAAGAACTGAGACTTACATTGCCGCTGGTTATGTCTTTTTTTTTGGGGGGGAGGGGGAGGGATGAGCTTTTTGAGAATCACCGCTTAAACTCTGGTTTGAAATTTCTACACTGTTCTAAAAAATAAACGAACAAGACGCCATCTAACGGTTTTAGAAGAACCGAGAGCGCTAACGCACCAACGGCGACGTGAAACTAAGATTGAGTGACGTGAGCGTAAAATTCTAACTTAAACGTCCTCTGACTGTAAATTCCGTGTGGTGTTTTTTCGAAATCTTACTTAGACGGTGACCTTCTTCTTGTTTTGAAGGTCAAGGTTGCAAAATTTAACGATTTTTGGATGACCGATTTGGCCTGTAGGCAACTTTAAAATATCTTACGCTTTCTTGAATAGTAGTGCACTGCCGCTTGGAAGATAAAAATATTAAATTCGGCAGTGGCAAAATATTTCTTTTAAATTGCTGATTTTTCTATTAAATTTGAAACGTAAATACCTTACGTTTTGCAAAGTGGCAACAGAAAGTTTTTAAATCGCTGAGCTTGTTAATCAAAAGTTGAATAAATTCGCCCAGTATATGAAATAAATGAATAAACAAAATTCGAAATTCAAAATTCAGGTGGCCACATTCGCATGCCGTTTTCGCACATGGGTTCAAAGTGGTAGACAATATGTGCCGCCGTTTTCGCACAACATGCAGACATACACGAGGTACATACATACATACATACAGATTCTTCATTATTTAACAGTAGAGATTTCATGTTCTATGGGAACTTATCCTGATAACGATCAGGAATATGATCGATAATCAATATGAAATCCTGATTAACGATTTAGAAGAATCTTCCAAGCACCAGTGTGTTGCCATTCAGCAAAACGTAAGATACTCAATTTTTCTTTTAAATCCAGCCTGTCTCTTATTGATTAAAAAACTCAGCGATTTAAAATAAAAAAACGCAGTTCTTCATTTGTATTATTATTAATTACTGTAAAGGCTTTTATTTTCGCGAAGCTTTAATTTTCGCGATTTTCGTGAACCCGTCGTAATCGCGAAAATTTAAGCCTCGCGAAATACTTTTCTTTTTAACTTTCTCAACTTAATTTTGAATTTTTTCAACTTTCGGTTCTGCTCGTATAAAATTTGCAAAATTTTCAGCTCGCGAAATCACCGATATATTCATTTTCGCGAAAATTACTGCCCGCGAAAATAAGGGCCTTTACAGTACTAGCAGAAATGACGCTAACTGGTCTCATCAAAATGACTACATTTCTTTTCCTACTTTTTTAAAAAAAATATAATTCAGTAGGTGGTCTGCTTTAATATCAGTACATTGAAATGTTTTTATTCACAATTTGAACATTTTACAGAAAAATCAACAAGCAGCTCCTCGACGAAAATGATGAGCTGTCACAGTCGGCGGTACAACTGATAAGCGCTGTCAGCAACACTCCACAAAGGACGAGTCCAGAGGTAAATTGGTAAATACTCCAGACTTTCATTTTGTGCAGTTTTACTGGAAGTACCTAGAACGCAGCTCTTAAATAAAACTATAAAGCCCATTCTCTAACGTGTAGGTGCGCATCTTGTTATTCTTATATTTTAATAAATTAAGTTTTATCAGTCCATAACGACTATTAGTCTCGAACCACGATTTTGCGTTGTTTCACTTTACCTTCGAGCCTGTTGCCATTCGGAAAAATGCAAGATATTATTTTTTCATATTGAATCTGTTTGTTATTCATTAGCAAACTAAACTATTTGAAAACAACAGATTCAATTTTTAAAAACAGTATTTTTTCACTTTTTAATTTTATTCAGGTACTTACATATTATCGCAACCAATTCTGTAGAAGCGATCAAATAATCAGAATGTGTCAAACTCTGGCAAACGTTTACGCACAAACACTTTTCAGGTAAACATTTTCGAGACAATCTTTCGGTAAAGCAACATCGCCACTTCCGCATGCCTTTATTTTGTTATATTCGGTGTTCAAACTGTTTTTATAGAAAAATTATGGTATTTTTTTGCTTAAACTCAGTTATAGAACGTTCACTTGTGGAATCTGCAAGCAATGGAAGAAAAACTGCTGGAAAAGTTCTGCAGTAGTACAGTAATTTACCGAAAAACCGCTAAAAGGACAATGTAGAGATGCATTTGAGAAAAAGCTTGTGAGCACTGCCGAAGCTGGGCGCAATGCCGGGTTTGTGCAGTTCTGTTTTTTTTTTTTTTTTTTTTTTTTTTTTTTTTTTTTTTTTTTTTTTTAACGAAAATAGATCGCCATGTACACGGGCAGAAGAACAGAGCAAAATATTGCAGATCGATTTCGAAAAAAATGCAAGTGCTTTATTTTGTATTATTTATTTTTTAATGGATCATGCAATCTTTATATAAGAAAGACCTTGTATTTAAAATTTTATAAAGTATGTTTAATTTTGATATGTTGATAATGTTTACCGACTTACTATAAATGTATATAGTTTGGCGATCCTTTTGGAATACACGAAAATTACCAACTTGCACCCGATAAATAACTTTTAACTTTTCATCTGTAAAAAATAGCAAGATTGCGACTTCGTTGTTACATAAGTACCTGATTGATTTAAATAAAAATGCATTTCATTCATGAAAAATAATTAGAAACATTATCTATTTTTACAGAATTATATCACATATTATTATACTATATACAGAATTATATCACATATTATATTATATACAGAATTATATCACATATTATGTATACTGAAAATATACTGAAGATTAAATATACTGGAGATTTTTAAATATACTTCCCATGGATCTTCATTTAGTATCCCATAAATGTTTTGCTATTCCACCCGAGAGCCTTTTCCATTGATAATCCTTATTGATAAGGCCATATTAAACTTTAAAAGAGTCGTCTTGGGTGGTTGTTAAAATCTGAACCCTTTCAGGTTTTTCCTTTTTTTACGTCTTCTCTTGCATTCTAAATTATTAATATTATTTTTACTGTTTTATTTTACTATATATTTCTGGGCAACAATGAGCAGTAAAGTTAACAAAATAAATCAGTTCATGAAATGAAGGAAAATCTTCAGTGTACGCAGTGCTTCGAGTAAAAACAATGTTAAACATTGATAAACTCTGTTCAGCTGAGTATTTTTCACGCATTTTTTTTTTTTTTTCCTCATTGCCTGTTTACTTCCTTTTACGAAGTAAAGGAAGTATTGCAATAGCAAAAAATTTCAGATATCATAATTCAAATTTTGTATATGGGACTTCTATAATATGCAGCTGAGCACCTCTCTTTTTCGTTTCAATCGGCCACAGCAAACGTATATAAATATGTTTGCCAACTATATATTATTCGGCTCGGTGAGTCACGTTTTCTTATATGCTGGTAAATGGTGCATTTTTTGCATGGTTAACATGATTTCAAAATTGGAACTATGTCTAGATATTAATGTTTATTTTTAGAACAAAAAGGAACTATTAATTCCTTGCTTAGTATGTATGATTGCCACTGACAGCAAGAACGCAATAACGGCGACGGGAGCCTAAGGCAGGTGTCGTGAGCTGAACGTTCTAACTCTTAAGGCGCAACGCTCTAAGTGTGGGCCCGTGGGGTGGATTTTGGAAATCTTCTCTAAACTTCCTATTATAAGTCAAGTGTGCAAAATTTGATCAGGATTGGAATAAAACCATAGATTTTGCATAAATTACTCATGCGCAAACAAACAGAGACTCTTCTTCATGTAACATATATAGATGATTTTAATGAATCTAGCCAGTGTAATTTCACGAGTCCGGCTAGAATTTAGTAATAATTCATTTGAATCTGCGTTTATTGTTTTTAAATGTCTTTGTCTGTTAATTAATAAAAGAATAAACTTTAAAAAATTAAATATTTTACGCTTTGTTGAACAACAACGCTCTGCCGCGTGGGAGATAAAATATTTTAATTTGAGAAGTGGCAGTGCATTTCTCTCGCATCGCTGAGTCTTTATTCAATTCGAAAGACAACATATGCGTTTTACTGAGTGGTAATACACTTCTTTTATGTAGTTGGGTTTTCCCGTTAAATCTGAAACGTAACTACCTTGTACTTTGTGCTAACACAAAACTTTTAAATCATTGAGTTTTTTTAAAACTATACGAAAGTTAATTACAGATTTCAATTCAAAATTCTAAATTAAGCGAAAAGGTTTTACTTATATTTTTTTTCCTAAAGCTTCTAATCCGGGCCAAGCTTGCGTAGACAAAATTTTAAAGAAATATACTTAAAATTTATACTCCAAGAAAGCACTTTTATTTAAAATAATTATTGTATGTCGAAAACGAAAAAACGTAGTTACAAAACATTGCATATCTACCCAAAAACAGACAAAAAAAAAAAAATTGCAACCGACATCTTACATCTCTTTTGAAATTTGAATCTTGTTGCCAATGTTAGTCACATAAAGAAAAACGTAACATTTTACAGAGCGCCCCATCTGGTAAAAATAGAATTGTCTTTTTTTATTAAAATTATTATTTCTTCTTGGAGGCCATTTTCCACCATGAGTTTTAAAAGTTCATTAAATTCGCGTCAGATTTATGCATTTAAAGTGTGCAGACTCCGTGGGCTTGTTTTTGAGAAACTATATGTAGACAATGATCTTGCTGTTGTTTTAAAGATAGAGTGTACAAATGTTCATCAAACTCAGAATAAATTGTAGATTTGTGTGAAAGACAAATGCACGGATACTGTTGTTTATTTATAGCGATTGATCCTTTCATTTTGCTCGGTATGTGATGTTACCTATCTATTAAAGTGATACATTTGGGAGGAGGAAATGTGCTCTGCTTTTCGAAGAAAAGAGATCCGCATCAAATCTGCTCTCGAAATGCAGTGAATGATTTTAATAATTAGATTACAACCAGGAGTAGAATTTTGCCCAACTTTAACGTCAACTTTTTAAAAATCCCCGTTTATTAATTATTTTTAATTCGAGTAATTTCTTTATAACTACGAATTTCTAAGTTGGCAACAACATGCTCCGAACGATCGATTTTTGTGCAGCAGACGATACGCAGACGCAGAGACGAGCGAACGAGAGAGGCCGCAGACGCAGCTGAATGAAGTTACGGAGGTGTAGTCGCAGTGCGTAAAAGACATGGAATTCTTAAAAACGGAACACTTAATTTCATTCACTTTGTAACCAAAGCTTACAAACGTTCTCTTCCACTTGTGGTACAACATTCCAACATGTTGCATGAGGAGCGCGCAAACTGTCACGTGGATATGGTCCGACGGACGGATTTTGACACTTGATGGTAAGAGAAATGTGAAAACGAAATCTTAGTGAATTCTTAACTATTTTAATAATGCAGAAATTAAAAGAATAGCTTAAAGATTTAAAACGCTAAAATGCATTTTTATGTAAATTTTTCGCTCTTTAATGCTACAAATCCTTGAGGCTATAATATCGATATCGTAAAGTATGACACAAAATATTTTCCTCTATTATTCCCTTCCTTAATGAACAGAATAATAATATAGCTTATATCTTAGAGGGTAATGACAATTAAAAATCAAAGTAAACAAAAAGGACTGAATTCTAACATAAAAATCGTTTGTTTTTCCCACACCATATGGATTTCCCTCTGCGTGTTTTCTCCCTCTTTTTTTTTTTTTTCCTTCTTTTTTTCTTTTATTGTCTTCCTGCCTGTTGCTTCGTTTTCAGCTATCAGTAGATTTTTTTCACTCCAGTCTGAATCGAAAGTAATATAAGAAACATACGTACTCAGATTATTATTATTATTATAAAATAGAAATACAAAAGTGTTTTAATGCATATGAAAATTATTCTGAATTTTAAAATACATATTTATTTTAACTAGAAAGTGGTATTTATTTACATTATACTGAATTATAGAATATTATGATACTTATTGCAATAGAATATTAATACAATGTGATATTAATTACAGAGTATGACACCTAGTGTTACAACAATTAAAACTGTCATAAATATAACGGCAATTAATTCATAATTAAAACCTAAAATTAGTATTATTAGCAATTTTATAGAAAGCATATGGCATAATAGTTGAATAGAAATAGCAATATCAAACATGTCATGCCCTCGTTTTACATATTTTGTAAAAGTTGAAGGGTAAATAAGAATAGCAAATGATGTATATTTTTATAAGAACATGTATATTTCTGTCTTTTGTTTTATACATTTTTATTTCCTTGTACAAAGTCGAGGAATATCACGAAAAATATCGGTTAACAGATTTCAAATATCCATTTGACCTTTCTCGAATTCCTTTTGACAATTTTTATGCGTGACGTCTGTACGTACGGACAGAATAAAGGAATCTTTTTTCCAAAACGGATTGTAAAAGGGATTTAGAATGGATTGAAAATGGATTTTTTTCGTAAACGTATGTACATGCATATGTATCTAGTATCATTCAAAAACCACTGGCCGAAGAACGCTGA